GATTAACCAAAATAACAATGAAAATAATATATTATATGATTTTAAATTAATTATTTGTGGATCTCAAGATGGCTTTTCAAGGAAAGTTTTTGAAGAGAAATGTTACAACATTAAACAAACTGTGGTGTTAATGAAAATTAAAGAAACAGGTGAATTAGTAGGTGGTTATAATCCTGTATGTTGGAATGTAAAAGGAAAGTCTCCAGATGAAGAATATTGTATTAAAACTAATCAAAGTTTCATTTTTAAGATTGATGAAAATAAACTAAATAATTCAATATTAAGCAGAGTTGAAATACCTGATCATGCAATATATAATCATAGTCAAAATTATGATCATACTATAAGTAATATAAGATTTCATGAAACATCTATAAGTTTTAATGATTTACGATTATTTAATAGTATTAATAATGAAACTTATTGTTATTATTATTATTATGATTATTACCCTAATACTTATGGATATAATTTGGATCTTATAAATAATAATAAGCATGTTCATTTGTTAGAAGAATATGAAGTGTATAAATTAGTAAGGAAAATTAATGATTTATAAATTTGTATTAAAAAAATTATCACTAAATGTGGATTTTTAACATATATAATATTATATATATTAAAATATTTATTATAATAATTTATCAACAAATGTAATAATTTTTTTAGAAATAAAAACCTTTTAATAATCATTGCATATATGAAATTAATTAATTGATTCAGGAACCTTTTCTTCCTTCTTCAACACATGCTCCAAATCCAAAGCATTTTTTGAATGCTTCTCTCATTGAAATTTGATCATGTATTGTGCTTTTGAAATTTTTGAGTAAAGCTTTGAATAAAATCTGAGCCATTTTATTTTACAGCTTTCCTCCTAACATCAGAGCCCAAACACAATTTCAGGGCCACCAACCCTGCTCTGAATTGTAACCTCCTGTGCTTGAAACAAGTTGGAGATTCTTTTAATATTCCTACATCATTGCAACTTGGTCACAGAACCATCCTTGCCATAGAGGTAGGATTGTTGCAGGCAATTTTTCGGTTAACGTAGCAGCAGCCTTCTCTGGTCTGGTGCTGTGAGGGAAGATTAGTGAAAACGTCATTGACAATTGATGCAGTTTCTGTAAACTCCAGGGCTTTGTGTCCCTCCTCTAGAATTTAACAGTATCATTGTATCATCGAGAATCACAAGTCAGATTAGCCTTGTGTACACGTGGGAATGACTGTAATGTGTTCAAGATAGAGTGCATGCTTCAACATCTGCTAATTTCCTGTAATCAAACATCGTATATCAAAATGTTTCTTTTTAAATGGTGTGCTGCCTTGACATCTTGTAATTATAATATTAATAATATTAATATAAGCAAAATACCAATCGTTCATTTGTTACCATCTTGATAAGGATCTTATAATTACCCAACAAAGATCTGCTCCGCGTTTTGATTCCATTTAAAATATTTATAAACTTAAAGGATACCACATTATATCAATACAAATAAAAAATAGTACCTTTGGTTAGTCATTAACACGTCTTCAGAATCAAAACATACCAAACAACAACACTCACGTTTTGTCACCTTGGACTGTGTCAAAAAATAAATTGTTTTCAAAAAAAAAAAAAATCAATTCGTGTCAACAAAAAAAAAACATGTTTGTCAATCAAATAACAATTTCTTTTTTAAAAATGTCTGTTTTAAGTGATATTAGTACTTCGCAACAAGTACACAAATCACATCCAGATGCATACCATACAAGTAGAATATTAAATGAAGAGATTGCTAAATCTAAAAGATTGAAACTTTATACAAGTAATAGTTTGCTAAATAATCTTGATTTTGACTCTTTTCTCTAAATGTTAACAAAGGTGAATAAAATTTTCATTATTAATTAATTGAAATTGTTACCCGTTACTAACAATATTTTTTAATTAATAATATTAGACTCTAGTAATTTATACTTAATCTCCACTATAAATTTATTCATTATAATTATTTATCTTTTTATTTTTATTCTTTCTTATTTTATTTCTTATAATAATAATACTTGAAATAATAAGTTTTCGATTCTTGTTAAGTGGTGACACTGCAAGGATAGTTAATAATCATGGCCTAACTTTTGGGCTACTCTTGTCAGTTAAATTGTTTTACAAATAAATCAAAACAAGTTTGCAATTAGCCAATAAATGTAAACAACTGAAATAAATTAATCACAAGTGAATAAAAAGGATTTTAGAGCTTTATAAAAGGCCATCTTTATTTATTTATTTACAGTTATTTGATACCGTTAAGTGTGCTTACAGATTAGTCAAGGTCCAATAAAGAGACAGTGATTAAGAACTAATGTAAATTCATAAACTAATTAATTGACAAGCACCAAATTGTTGTGAATTGCTTGCAATTAACTGACTTGTTTAACAGCTTTACATTTACGACCACAACAATACTATCAGTATTTCCGATTAACCTTGAACAATACTTCATAACCTTGCCTGCTTGCTCACTAAAGCAAATAACATGGCTTTTACCAAAGTTTCACAGTTGTTACTTTTTACCAAGACACTAGCTACACTTTGTTGCTTTTATCAAGGCGTTTTAAACAAAGAAAATAAAGACAATGTTTTTATTTTATTTTTATTTTTATTTTTAAAAGTTTATTAATGATTAATTTTTATTTAATAAAAGTAATGATTCTATCGCAGAGTTTACTTTATTAGAATGTTAATTATTCTTTTGCTTAGACCAGAAATTATACGAAATTTTCATTGATCACTACAATAGGATAAAGATGGGTTTGTTGTTGCAAGATAACTTTATCAATCTTCCATAATTATAAGAAAGTTCTGCATTAAGATTATACTTGGAATATATATAAATTACCGAATTATCTACCCCGATCATGTTATTAATATCATTAAGAAATGTTCGGTAGATGAGTGTGTGTATTCAGCAAAAGAAAAACTTAACTACTTGAGAGCAACTAATGAAACAAAGGAGAGATTGGGGTACACAAGAAAATATAAAAAAAAAGACTTCGGATATATATTTATAAGTTTTTTTGTGAGCGAGCTTATATATTTTATTAGCCTTTAAAACAATTTTACTTACGTCATTTTTGACTTAATATTAATGGCAGTGAATTTGACGTAATAATTTTACAACATTGGTAACATTTTGTCAAACAACATTATCCCGTTCATCTGGATTTATGCTTGCCAAATTCGCCAAATTACCCTCTTTCTCATTTCCCACAACTCCTTAACAACTTTTCGAACAACATTCCTTTTTTTATGGTCTTTCTTTCATTTCCTGGTGACGCCAAGAACCTTTTATTTATTTATTTATTTTTATTTTATTTGGAAAAACCATTTGATTCAACAAATACATCCTCAAGTTTTTTTAGTACTGCTCGATTTTTTTGATGATAATGACGATGACGATAACAACACTATAACTGAACACATAAATCTTAACTCCAGGGTCCCCAAGTGCAAAAAATATTCTAATCGTTGAAATAGCAGCGCTTTTTGGGTTATCCTTAACTAATATAATTTTAGGAATATCCTAGTTTACCTAGAGTTGATAGGATACGATTAAGCTTGTCCTCCATAATCAAATATCAAATGTTGCAACACACCCGCAACTTTACATATACATAGTGTTGCGACATAATCACGATGCAGTTAAACCAACTTTTCTATTTATATTGTAAAAAACATCATTATTATAAAACATTTGATATTTATTAAAATGTACAGTAATTATTAAACAAAAAATTTGAATTAATTCATCTAATTGCTACAAAACAGCATGTCAACTGCATTTCCATTTTCATCTATATCATCATCATCTATATAGTAAGTTATTTTTAATTTGTTCTTTTTCTTCAATAACATGCAAATAGAATAAACTTGTTAATATCCATGATTAAATATTTAATGAAAAACAGGGTTTCTACAAGGGGGAAAGGTAATGCACACACAATAAACATCATAACTCAAATTTTGTTGATTTGTTTATGCGTGATTCTTCTAAATTAACTGAACAAGAATAACCATCAATATGACATTGTTCAAAATGTTCAGAAGTTTTTCCTTGTTTAAAAAATGTTGAAATGACATGTCAGTCAGTATAATAGAGAACCAATCAAAAACATTTGATCACTTCTGAAAAAATTGAAACAATAAAACATTGATTAATATGACTAATTGGTTAATTAGACAATGGATTATTAAAAATCATAATTAAATTTTGCTTTAAAAATGACTTCAACCTCTGCACCTTCATCCAAAAAAAGAAGTTCTTTAAGTGCTTTGCAAAAAAAAAAGAACTATGTAAGTGTGCTAAAAATGACCATAGCTTAACTCAAGATAAATTAGCTAAAGATTTTTGAAATTAGTAAAAGCACAGTTTCAGTAATTTTATCAGAATCAAACAAATGGCTTTCTGTTGATGAAACTGTTTCAACTTCTCAATTTAAAAAGAATCAGCAAGCAAATTGGCCACAATTAGAAGAAACTCTAGCAATCTAGTTTGATGAAGCTATAAAACATAACTAAAGAAGAGGTGGTGGTGGTGGTGGTGGTGGTGGTGGTGGAAAATAATATTATTCATATTAATAGTAACAATGCATTGGAAAGTTGCATAAACCTTCTTACTTATATACAACAAGAACAAGTACCAAAGTTTCTAGTGGAGGGTCGCTTATTAGTTAGTTTACAATAATTAAAAAAAAAACAATAAGTCAGAGTTTTAGAGAGGCTAAACAAATTATTTTAGATTTTTATGTTCAAAAATAATTAATAAAATAAAAACTATTATAAAATCATATTAATATGATAATAATTCTCACGTGACTTTTATATGAACTCATGTCATTATAACGGGAGTGACTCGGCTAAAATTTCCCCAAATTTCGCACTCTGCGCCCTATATAAACAAATTTAGTAATAAAATCATGTGATGGTTGATAACGAAGATCTCTGTTTTCTTTTTGTCAAAAAGATGAATTTTTTTAGTTCTAAAACAAAAACTATTAAAACTTACGGAAAAGATAAAAGGGAAAGAGTCGTAAATATATGGGAAAAGGATTTAAGATCTAAACAACAACAACATTATCAAAAATCACAAGAGGAAAAACCACAACCACAACTACATTGTCAAAAATCACAAGAGGAAAAATCACAACAACAACAACATTATCAAAAACCACAAGAGGAAAAATCATCACCCTTACAGCATTATCAAAAATCACAAGAGGAAATACCACTACCCTTACAACATTATCAAAAACCACAAGGGGAAAAAAACATTGAACGCTTATCAAATAATGCTACAATCAGCAGAACTCCATTATCACCCAAACCATTATTTACTAATAACAATAATATTATTATTACTAATAATAAATCACTAACGAATGAAGATATTGCTAAAAATAACAACAACAATAATAATAATGCTGAAAAAATTAAAATTAATAATACTAGTAGTAATATTAATAACTTTCTTAATAATTCCTCAGATCCTGAATCATTATTAAAGCTCTTAAATTTATGTGGTCAAAATGCAATCTATACATTTGAAGAATTTCTTGGTAAAGAGTAAGTTAGAATATATATACACATAAGAATACAACCAATTATTTAGATATATTTATTTAATTTTTTGTTTATTAAAAAGTTGTATTCATAATGCTGTAAAGATTGGTGAAGCAAGTTTTTCAGAGGTTTTTACAAGTTATGTGTCAAAATTCACTTCAAACAAGATGAAATCTGTTCTAAAAATAATTCCATTTGGAAGAGGGAAAGAAATATTGATTAATGGTGAAGAGCAATCAAGTATAAAAAACATATTACAAGAAATTATAATTACATTGAAATTATGTGGAAGAAATGAAATAGCATCATCATCAAGTGTTGGATTTTTGGAATTATACGGGTGATTATTTTAAAAATTTTATATACTGTATAATACATATACATATACGTTATAATTACAATTTATAATTTATTTAAATTTGTAGTGTTGGAATTATTTATGGTAAATATCCTGATCAATTGATAAACCAATGGGATGCTTGGGATGAAAAACATAATTCAGATAATGATCGCCCTGGTAAATTTTTTTGTCATTGTCATCATTATTATTGTTTTTTGGATATTACTATATTATTAAAAATTGTTTTAAAAAGATTATTTTGATGATAAACAATTGTATGTTGTAATGATAATTGAATATGGAGGTCTCGATTTAGAACATGTAAAGTTAAAGAATTGGAATCAAGCTTGGAGTGTTTTAGCACAAGTTGGGTCCTGTATCGCTCAAGCTGAACAAGTAAAAAATATATCAAATTATTATTTATATAATTTGTTTTATAATTTAATTTATATAATTTATTAATATATATATGCTTTAATTAGTTATTCAGATTTGAAGTAAGCTCTTTTTTTTATATAATGATTCCTTGTGCGCGCAATAATAGGATTTAAATATCTTCTATGATTATCTATGTACTAATATTATTATGATTATAGCACAGAGACCTTCATTGGGGAAACATTACTATTAAACCTACAAAATGTAAAAATATTTCATACAATGTGACATCATCATCACCACCATTGGATATAAATATTCCTACATATGGTATAAGCGTATGGGTAATTGATTATACATTGTCACGAATTGAACATGGTTTGCTTAAATTTTTTTTGTTTGACTTATTGTTATTATTAGAAATATTATTTAAGTATTTCCTTTAAATTAAATATTAAGATAATGAAATAGTATATGTTAATCTTTCGGATGAAAGTTATTTTACGAGTGAAGGTAACTTATTGATATTATATATAAATATAAATGTTGCGTGCCAAATTCATCCATTTTATGTTGTAGAATTTAAAATACACACAATTTTGATTTTCACATACATAATAATACATATTTATATTTTTAGGTGATTATCAATACGATATATATCGTATGATGAGAAAAGAGACAAACGGTGATTGGAAATCTTTTAATTCCAAAACAAATGTATTTGTAAGTTATTGTGAAGTAATTGATTGATAAATTTTATATAATATATACTTTTTATTTCGTCTATATTCATTATATTTTCTTTTTAGTGGCTTCATTATCTTTCAGACAAACTTTTAAAAGAAAAAAATTTACCAATACCAACTAGAAATAATAATCAATACAAATATTATAATTCAGTAAATAAATTTCACAATTCTGTGTTGAAAAGAAATAGTTATAAAAGTGCCATGGAAATAATGAAGAATGAAGAGTTCTGGAAATTGTAGGAACTATAGAGTTTTAGAATTATTTAAATCTTAAAAATAAAATATCTATACACACATACTATTTATATTATAACACACATGATTAATTGTTCAATGCAACCTTTTAGGTTAAAATTTATTCATCATCGTCATCCATTTATCAATCCCACTTTTGATCTGGTTGTGATTTATAATTATTATAGGCTCCGTATTAATTTGTTTCATTTCTTTTTCATCAAAACAAGAAAATATAACTTTTTAGATAATAATGTATTCTATCACCCGTACGTATCATAAGAAATCAAAATTCCTTCTACATTATTTAATAACCATTCATTCATCATGATCCATATTTACAACCATAAATTTTATTTAAATGTCATTCGTTTATAAATATAACTATCATAATAACTAGTTAATTACTTTGAATTTATGAGCTTTTGTATAAATATTTAGTCTTTTTTCAATTATTCCATCCAAACCGTAAATCACGTGTAAATTTAGACGTGGAATTGAAATTAGCAATCAAATATGGTAATGTTTGGGTGAAAAATTCCCTAATTTCACAATAAATGCTTCAGAAACTGTAAATTTATATTTGGTAAATCAATATTTTTAATTCGTTGTTGACATTATTTTCCTTGAATAAATAAAAATAACGTCATCAAGCTGTATTAATATAATAATAAGGCAGAACAAGTTGTTGGAACAACATTCTGATATATCTTTGCGAGATAGTAGTATAAATATCACAGTGGCCATTAATTACTCGATGGATTAATCTCAAACAGATCAGCTTCACAAAAGATTACAAGAACAGCCTATATATATTGTAGCATAATAAATATAATTATTTTTTATTTAATCAATAATTCCTAATTCTTCAAGATGCTTTGGAATGACTATATATGAATCTTCACAATACCAAATTTTTATTAGAAAAAACCAATTCTCTCTCTCAGCTGATCATGTATCATCAATCGCTTTTCAAAATCTTTATGAAGGCGATTTATCTGCTGCTCATTCTCAATCATCCTGGAAGGAATCCGTTGAGTTAAAGATGTTTTGAATTAGGTGCATATCTAAATACATCTGCAAGAAAAGACCTTTCCGACACTCTTCTACAAGGAACACAGGACTAAATGAAAAGGATGAAATAAAACCATCTAAAGAAATGTTAGTGATGATAGTTATATTTGTATTAATTTTTGCTACATAGAGAATTTATTAAATACTAATAACCTTATCTACATATTTATTTCATTAGCTAAAGAATTATACATAAGCCTTCTATTTACAAAAATAGCTTTATAATGAACATGTGTCATAGAATTAACTATCAATGTGTTTAGGCTTCAGGTAAGAATCAATTCACTTCGCTCTAAAAGATTTGCTATTTTGTATATTTTCAACATATGCATACTTTCCAACGGTACCATCGCATGAAGTATCCTTCTGTAATATCCTCGGTTTTATCCATTCTTTTTCTGGGTCATCAAGAGTAACATCTTCACCCATTCTCAGTTTCCAAGCTACATCACACATCCGCCGGAGTCCAATATTACGATTCCATCCATTTGGACCATCCCAGTTCCGTCGAAACTCTTCTGATATTAATGTTGGGTCATATCGAAAGTCAACATATTTTTGATATTCTTTTGGGTTTTGGATAAGGGAGCGTAGGTAGAGAGCAAGATCACGCGGGTGTGGAAAGTCATCAAGTAAGATGGCAGAATGAGATGTGGGGAGGAAAGGATCGTAATTTCTAGGACCTGCTACGATGGGGACAACTCCAGCCGCAAAGGCATTCTGTCATGAAAAAAAAGAAAGAAGATCATCTGAATTAAAAGGAAAATGCAATCTTTGGTGATTTCCTCAAGTTCTAACTCTCTGATGTTTCGAAATTAGCATCAGCAAGAAAAGCATGCATAAGAACGGGGGAAAAAAATAATACAAACTTGGAGCTTTTCAGTAACATAATCGTCACAATTGGAGTTCTCGATTGCTAGATAGAAAGGATGGCGAGCTATATACTCAATGGTTTGATAAGCTAAAATGTTGTGCAAGATGAACGAAGACAGGTTAAAATTAATTTCCAGTGATTACTGTATGAGATTCTGGTCAACAAACTTACATGGAAATGGCGATTTGTTGTTCAAACATGATCCATAGTTTGCAACTTCAATGTAGTTCATAAGCTCCTTTACATACAAGTGCCGTAAGTTTATTGCATGACAGTTGCTTGCTATCCATGCTACTGGCTCACCATTTGGTAAAAATGAAGGAGGTGACTTTTTTAACTGTTCCATGATGTTGGTATCATAGTAGACGAATGGAAAATTTGAATCGAGACGGTAGTTCATGCTATTCCATAATTATTAAAAAGAAGTAAGATAGTAAACACTCAATCAGTATGAATTTCAAAAAGCAGCATTACAAGCGACATCAAATTTGTGTATCCAATACCTATAGTTAAACAATGCATACAGCCTCTCTGATTCGTTGAGTTCGACTAAACTTTCAGCTGTATAAAGTACCCATAACTGATTACTCCTCCTAGGCGGTAGATCGTTCATGTCCAAATCCGATTTATGAAATACTGCTATATGTGCCTCATCTTTGGCTTTCTTATAATGCGTAATCACGCATTTATTGACTCCATCCAAGGTCTGCAGCTCGTAGCCTTCCCACCATGACCGAGAATCATTGAACCAAGGGGTCCATAATACAATCGGTTCAACATCCTTGCCGTAAATCGAGGATATGGGGAAAAAATATTGACGGAGACTACAGGACCATGCTTGCTGATTGCAGGATTCGAAGTATTCAAGCATGAAGGAAAAAAAGTAGTTAAATAGGAGGAATGTAAAAACACTAGGTACAAGAATCATCCATGGCACACAAGAAAATATAAAAAAAAAGACTTCGGATATATATTTATAAGTTTTTTTGTGAGCGAGCTTATATATTTTATTAGCCTTTAAAACAATTTTACTTACGTCATTTTTGACTTAATATTAATGGCAGTGAATTTGACGTAATAATTTTACAACATTGGTAACATTTTGTCAAACAACATTATCCCGTTCATCTGGATTTATGCTTGCCAAATTCGCCAAATTACCCTCTTTCTCATTTCCCACAACTCCTTAACAACTTTTCGAACAACATTCCTTTTTTTATGGTCTTTCTTTCATTTCCTGGTGACGCCAAGAACCTTTTATTTATTTATTTATTTTTATTTTATTTGGAAAAACCATTTGATTCAACAAATACATCCTCAAGTTTTTTTAGTACTGCTCGATTTTTTTGATGATAATGACGATGACGATAACAACACTATAACTGAACACATAAATCTTAACTCCAGGGTCCCCAAGCTTGATTCCAATTCTTTAACTTTACATGTTCTAAATCGAGACCTCCATATTCAATTATCATTACAACATACAATTGTTTATCATCAAAATAATCTTTTTAAAACAATTTTTAATAATATAGTAATATCCAAAAAACAATAATAATGATGACAATGACAAAAAAATTTACCAGGGCGATCATTATCTGAATTATGTTTTTCATCCCAAGCATCCCATTGGTTTATCAATTGATCAGGATATTTACCATAAATAATTCCAACACTACAAATTTAAATAAATTATAAATTGTAATTATAACGTATATGTATATGTATTATACAGTATATAAAATTTTTAAAATAATCACCCGTATAATTCCAAAAATCCAACACTTGATGATGATGCTATTTCATTTCTTCCACATAATTTCAATGTAATTATAATTTCTTGTAATATGTTTTTTATACTTGATTGCTCTTCACCATTAATCAATATTTCTTTCCCTCTTCCAAATGGAATTATTTTTAGAACAGATTTCATCTTGTTTGAAGTGAATTTTGACACATAACTTGTAAAAACCTCTGAAAAACTTGCTTCACCAATCTTTACAGCATTATGAATACAACTTTTTAATAAACAAAAAATTAAATAAATATATCTAAATAATTGGTTGTATTCTTATGTGTATATATATTCTAACTTACTCTTTACCAAGAAATTCTTCAAATGTATAGATTGCATTTTGACCACATAAATTTAAGAGCTTTAATAATGATTCAGGATCTGAGGAATTATTAAGAAAGTTATTAATATTACTACTAGTATTATTAATTTTAATTTTTTCAGCATTATTATTATTGTTGTTGTTATTTTTAGCAATATCTTCATTCGTTAGTGATTTATTATTAGTAATAATAATATTATTGTTATTAGTAAATAATGGTTTGGGTGATAATGGAGTTCTGCTGATTGTAGCATTATTTGATAAGCGTTCAATGTTTTTTTCCCCTTGTGGTTTTTGATAATGTTGTAAGGGTAGTGGTATTTCCTCTTGTGATTTTTGATAATGCTGTAAGGGTGATGATTTTTCCTCTTGTGGTTTTTGATAATGTTGTTGTTGTTGTGATTTTTCCTCTTGTGATTTTTGACAATGTAGTTGTGGTTGTGGTTTTTCCTCTTGTGATTTTTGATAATGTTGTTGTTGTTTAGATCTTAAATCCTTTTCCCATATATTTACGACTCTTTCCCTTTTATCTTTTCCGTAAGTTTTAATAGTTTTTGTTTTAGAACTAAAAAAATTCATCTTTTTGACAAAAAGAAAACAGAGATCTTCGTTATCAACCATCACATGATTTTATTACTAAATTTGTTTATATAGGGCGCAGAGTGCGAAATTTGGGGAAATTTTAGCCGAGTCACTCCCGTTATAATGACATGAGTTCATATAAAAGTCACGTGAGAATTATTATCATATTAATATGATTTTATAATAGTTTTTATTTTATTAATTATTTTTGAACATAAAAATCTAAAATAATTTGTTTAGCCTCTCTAAAACTCTGACTTATTGTTTTTTTTTTAATTATTGTAAACTAACTAATAAGCGACCCTCCACTAGAAACTTTGGTACTTGTTCTTGTTGTATATAAGTAAGAAGGTTTATGCAACTTTTCAATGCGTCGTTAGTATTAATAT